GAACAAACAATTGTTTTCTCCTCACCAAGCAAAAACTTCAAATCCACCTAACAAACAATGCCCGTCTTATATTAATGAAGAGCAATTTCAAAAATACAGGCGTGCAAGAATATAACCGACATAGAATCAAGTATATACGCATATGTATTTACAGTATCAAAGAAGTAATCGGGCTGCTTGTAGTCCTTCAAGAAGATTTCCTTTGGTGTATCCATTTTGGGTTCTTCAACTTGCTTTGCTAGTGATTCTGTTGCAACAGAACAGATTAACCTCTGACTGACTTTTTTAGCACCCTACAAAGGTCTAAAAGCACTTGTAAATAAAATATAATTATAGAAGCATTGACAAGCACTAAGATTAGCTAAACTGCTTACAGGCAACGAATTATACGGAAACCGATGATTCCTCCAATATTTAACCTAGTAACACAACAGATTGAGAATTTTAGACACGAAGAAAAGCATGGCTTTCAGAAGGCAGGTTATGGAAAATGTGCAAACCTCTGAACTGAAGTATTGCCTGTATCTACAGATATTCTTTGCTGAATGCCCAACAAAACTGAAACCACAACTAGCCTGAAGCTGCAAGTGTCAATTTAATGAACGTAGGCCACAAAAATTAGACATAGTAAGGTTTTAGGAGAATATTGTATAAGCAAAACACATTTGAAAAGGCAAACATATGCACCACTTTTACGGAAAAGTGAAAATCAATAACACATCATAATATCAAAACTAAACAGCTAAACTCATGGCTCTTGGGTTGGCCACGAATAGCATAAAAAGAACTCAAGAAAAATACAATTCTCCAGAGATAAATTATTTCCTCAAAATTTCATTGGCAACTAAAAAATCATTGGAACAAAAGTAAAAAAAAAAAAAATACTATGGGATTGGGTAATCACAGGAGAAGAGGAGACCAAACCCAAGAGACAGGTCTTTGACAGACTCGAAGCTTTGCATGGTAGAATCAACCGAGCCATCGCCCAATCACAAAACTCCTAAATAATCAACTATTGATAAAAATAAATTCAATCATCAGATTCCTATAAACCACAAACAAGATTCAATAATTAAACCCTAGAAATGATGGAATTTTTCACCCCAGATTGCCTAGGCCAACAAAATTTCACATAAGGGACTCAAAACCCCCTAGATCAGTAAAAAATACGAAAACCCATGTGAGTAAACAGAGAGTGAGTATGCACTCTTATATGCATTTTGTGTAAGGATAGGGATAATACAAAATTATGGACAAAATTATATATATAAAACAATTAAAAACGAGAAATTAAAATAATTCTAATTGTATCAAAAACTCCATTGCTCTGAGTCTCTGACATACCTTTTTTCCGATGATCAGAGATGGAAGAAGAACAAATACGAGGAGATATTTAAGAAGGATTTTTCCCTACGGAAGTTCTACAAAAAGGGTAATTATAGGGTACCGCTATTTCCATCCA